AGAGGCTAACTTGCTTGACTCGTCCAAACACTGTGTTGTCTAAGCCAAGATTCTTAGTGTGGGACCCGGTTATGGTTTGAGCCAGCTGCTTTAACCTCGATTTTGAGGCATTGATGCCCACGGCTAGGAGGACTTGGGCCTGAATGGTTGTGGGTGGAACTACGGTTGAGCCCTTCAGATTGGTCAAGCGTATGTACAGATTCTGTGATTCAGGAAAAAAAAAGTAGAGCTAAAGTCTCGTAAAAATATTTCGTATATTTTTTTACTCTACGGTAACTGAACTTTTTCTAATTAATCTAAACTAGAACTAATCACCTCGTATGGAGCCAGATGTAGGCCTGTGTTAAGTTGGCTTCTGAGTTCCTCAAAATTGACTAGAATTTCATCAATCGAGAAGTTTAAAGTGAAGTTGAAAAGGATCTGAACATTTTGCATAAGGAATGCCTTCTGCTCGGGGCTGACGGTAATCCCTCCCCTGAATCTGAGCACATCGAATTCGAAGGGATTGCCGAACAAAGATTCAGTCAAATGAAGAGGCGATTGGCGAGTAATCATAGACAAAAAAGAGGCTCTGATTAAACTCCGGGTAGTCACATCTGACTCGACTGCAAACACAACCTTCGTTATGTTTGGATCGGCAGATGATCCTAAGGATCCTAAGGATATTATTTCAACCTGACATAGAGAGGATAATAAATCAATCAAGATTTTGAGGCAAATATGAGAAAACAGAAGATTCTAGTGAAAAAAGTGTGTTAACAGCATAACACATTAATATCAAAATCCCAAATTAAAGCAATTAGGGATAACTAATCCAAGATTATTAAGTAGGTGTTAGCTCGAGTATATGAGCTCTTTATAAGTGGTAAATAATTTTGATTGCAAAAATCCTATAACCTCATAAAAAGTATCAAAACTGTCAACCAGCTTTACATTTTCAGATTTTTAATTTGCGACAGATCATTCATTATGCATACCAAGTCAAGCAAAAATTACACACAGATATGTAATAAGATGCAGAAATTTTGACCAATTAATGAAGGGGGCGTGTCCATATTAGATACTTCAACATGCCTGGTATAGAATTATGTATGCAACTAGTTAGTCCTATCTAATACGAGAAGAAACAAGAACGACAAAGTTTGAGAACAAAAATTCAAGAGCAAGTTGAATTACTTTAGTAGAGGCGAAGCTCATCTCATCGAAAATATCATTCTCAAGTTGCACGACATGGTCTTGAAGAAAAGAAGCTGGCTTTCTCAGCACAAAACTTGCCACTACATCATGACCTGGAAAATATCAAACAGATATATCTTACAATAATGAATGAAAATTCTCCTCTTCTGACAAAATTGAACATAATGACAAGCAGACTCGAAAAGATGCTTAGTCGCAGACAAGCATTAAAAGAGGAATTTCTGTTAACAGGTTGGCCATGAAGTTGAAGTCACAAACAGAATATCTTATCAAGCATCTAATACATTCAGCTGTGATCACACGTGACAAAACAGCATTGATACTTGTAGTATAATTTACAAAATCTACCTAGTTATCCCATCAAGCTAGTACATATATTGTCAAGTGATTCTTCAGTCTCTCTCTCTATCTATGGTTCCTATTTCTAAAATTCATAACTAAATTTTCAATCGAAGGACTTGTGCAGTATAGCAACACATATTAGCAAGAGAGCACACTCTTTCTGTGCTACATTGTGCAAGAACTAGTTTTCCGTGCCAAATGTTCAAGAAGTGGAATAATCAAATTCCATATCTTTGAGCGAGAAATCAAGTAGAAAACCAGAAAAACATGCAATTGCTCCACCTACATAATCAATGGCAAGCCTTTCTTTTCCCCCAACGGCATAATAAAGTGTTCCTTTAGCAGTCATAACACAAATGCAATATGTCAAGGCTTGATTATATGAATCTATCGCACATGTGAAATAAAAGCGAGTAAGCTTCGACAAACTGCCGCAATAAAAATAAAAATAACTGCATGACTTGGTTTAGACAACCATTCAAAAGTAACAACGACTGCAATATACGAATTGCAAAATTGGTATGCCACAAGTCAACCGATCTCACAGGGTTGAAGGGGAAAAGATGAAGACAAAAAAGAACAAGTACATGAAAAAGAAACGATCAATAGAGTAAGAATTAGCCAAACATTTAGACACCCAAAAAAGAAAACGGGGAGATGGATCACTTGTCAAAATAAGCAATTCAGCAACACTGGCCACAATTATAACCATACATCTTAATAAAAATCTCCAAGAAATCAATGATTAGTTCTTAATAGCTTCAATTTTACAAGAAACTAAAGAAAATCAAATTTGCTTCTAACCACAAACATAAAAGTCTCCCAATTAACCATTAAAATTTAAGAACTCAATCACAAGTAAACCATTCAGAACTTCCAAAACGCAAGATAACTAAAACCCAACAAATCCAAACTCCAAAATATACAGATTTGATTCAGGCTACATGTAAAACACTTACCCAGATCTGCATTTACAGAAAAAATGCAAACCAAACCAAAAAAGTTAGCTTCTTTTAAAGAAAACTAAGCGAAAAAGCAAAATTCACGAACCTCCATAGTCCAGATCCAGATCTTTATGGTGCCCAAATCGAAAACCCGGCAGCCAAAAAATCGCAGACAAAAGCACCGCAAAACCCAGCACCAACACAAACACACATCTAAAGCTCACCAATTTAAGAAACCCACTGCAACCCAAACAGCACCCGCTACTGCTCCCATCACTGGAGCCTGTACCCTGCGCATCGACCGTTGTACTCGGCAAATTAAGCTCGTCCTCTCCCTTCCCCATTGCAGCAAATTCTTATCAGCAATGTGGGTTTTCTTCCTCATGGTCTTTCCTGCTGAGCTCCATTAACTGGTCTGTGTTGATGAAAGGGAGCTCATATCTAACCTCGCCTTCCTTCAACTTTCTTTTCTTGTACTGAAAAATTAAAAAAAAAAATATATATAAAAGCGAAAAAGAGGAATTTTTGGTGAGTGGTTCACGGAGGAGAGCTGAAATGGTGAATTATTTTTTTCATTTTCATATATATATATATATATAAATATATATATATATATT